AGTAACCTAGACAGGCTTAAAGTCTAGCTGTAATTACAGACTCTTGTAACACCACTTCCAGCTGGATAGGTGTTTTATGGATGTTTCATTAAATTATATGATTGATAAAATTATTGGCCACTGATGGTTGAACTCAATCTCCAGCCCCTCTTGTCTCCCTGTAGATCAGTGGAAACGGGAGAGTGTTGAAAATCCCAATTCTCTAACCATGCCTTGGTCTTTTTGGTCACTATCCCATGTGATGATCATGCGTGCACACACACACACACACACACACATACTTCTTAGTATACCACAGGTGTGAACAGATTTGTATTTCAAAATGTTTTCTCCAGCTACAAGAGGTGATGTGGTAGGTGATGGAGGGAGAAAAGGTAGGTTTTTGTTTTGAGCAACTGAGTTGAAAGTGGTATAATTGCCTGGAAGAAGAATAAGTTTGGGAGGCAGCTGATGGAAGTCAGTTTGAGAAGGCTGTGAGATGCCTGTGATTCGGTTAAACATAATGTCAGATGGAGGCTGAAAATCTGGACCAGGAGCTTTCAAGAGAGATCTGGGCTGTGCAGACACATTTTGAAACCAAGGATGGGCAAAAGGCTGGCTCCTCTCACTCCCTTACAGACAGGCCTATGTTGTGAGAGTAGTGGAATAAAAAGAGTGGGTGAAACCCATGGCTATCATTAGTGAAGTCAGTAGGCAGGCATTGATTCATCATGCAATTACTCAGCACTTACTGGGTATAAGCTGTGTCAGGCCAGATGCTGGAAATATAAAGATAAATATAACAGGATGAAGATTTGAGTCCAGGAGTTTGATACCAGCCTGAGCAACACAGAAAGAGCCCATCACCCCCCCTCAAAAAAAAGAAGAAAAGAAACAAAGTCCACCAATAAAGAACTCACAGTTTAGCAGGGAGAAACAAATGTATATGCAACAGGATGAACTATGTTGAGGCACATAATAGATTACTAGGGACCAAAATACTGTTTCCTGAAGAGGTCAAGGAAGACTTCCAGAAGAGGTGATGTGAGTTAAGTCTTAGAATATGCTGGAATGATGTGCTATGTCCAGCGCAGCTCTTAAGAAACTCCAGGGGGAGGACCATGAAGAAATGAAGGCAAGAGTGAAAGTGCAGAAAGCTGAGATCAGGTGGGGCCCTCTCTCAGAGAAAAGAAGCCGCCCAATGACTACAGCACATTTATTTATACACTTGGTGGGTTGATGTCAGGTGAAACTTCTCTGCCTGTTCTTGAGGTTGGATCAACTTGTTCAACTGGCTCGCCTCAGGTGCTCCATGTTCTTGGAGCTGGCCTTGCTCTAGCCTTGCACATGTGATCATTCTTCAGCTTCAGCCACTCCCCACAGTGATGGTCAGACCCATGTGCATTTGGCAGATCTGCTCAGAGGATGCCAAAGGATAGCACTGATGGTTAGGGAGACCCTAGAAAGGTAGGAGGAATGGACACTGAAAGTCTTAGATATGGAAGAGCGCACAGCAAAGACCAGTATCCTGCATGAAAGTGAAGGTGCTTTGCAACACCAGGAGTATAAACACTACTCTCAGTATAAAAACTGCTCTGATACTGGGAGATAGGATTCACACCTGTCCAGATTGCTCCCAACAATGTCCCTTTTTTGGAAAGAATTTAGTTGAGATCTTCTGCTGTCTGTAAAGAAGTCAGTGTGTAAGGGGATTCTCCTAAGAGAGGTGGTTGGATGAGATGACTACTAAGTACCTTTCCAAACCGATGGCCATATTAGTCATTGGCTTAGTTACTTTTCTCATTTCTGGGACAAAATACTGAACACTCCAAGTTAAAGAAGGAAAAGTTCATTTAACTCAGTTCATAGAGGTTTCAGTCCATAATTGGTTGGCTCCAAGGCAGGGTGGCATGGCAAAGGGGCATCACAGAGGACAAATAGTGCATAGCAAGCAAAGCAATAAGCAGAAGAACCAATGACAAACCACTCTTTCTGTCCCTTACATTCTTTCAGGCTACCCAACCTTAGAGCAAGTAGCACTCACACCCTTAGTCCTAGTACCCTGAATCAATTCTAGTGAGAATTATGCCAAACCAATGGACTATACCCTTAATCCCTGCATCATACACCCTAGATCAGCCACCTGGAACTGCATGGTGGGGAAGGATCTGGGACAGATCAGGGAATTAATGGCTAAAACAGTTACAAACCCTGTATAGAGCCTGAGTGTGGTGGTGCATGCCTCTTATGAGAGCGCTAGTGAGATTGATGCAAGGAGGATGGCTGTGAGTTCAAGGCCAACCTAGGCAACATAGTTCAAGTCCAGCCTGAACTACATAATGAAACCCTGCCTCAAAAACAAGACAAAACACAAGTAAAGAAAAATCCTTGTGTAGAGTTTATCAGAAGCCATGGGGAGTAGATACAGTGTTCACTTCTGATTGTGAAGCTGGCACTTGGTGTGGGTTTCTCCTGTTTTTTACTGTTTGTTTGTTTGCCTTTTTTGATGGCCTTGAGCTCACTTTGTAGCCCAGGCTGGTCTCAAACTCAAAATAGTTCTCCTGCCTCAGCCTCCCATGTGCTGGGATTACAGGCATGCACCGCCATGCCCAGCCTTTCCTGTTATTTGTTACCAATTATGGATCTTATCTTTGCAGGGGTAGAGCAAAAGAGAGAGGACATAGTCTCAGGGTTTTCTGTTTTGAGTTGGACTTTTAAGAATAGAACTGTATTTTTTTTTCACTTTAAGCATCTTTTTGTTGAATGAGTTATTTGTTTGTTTGTTTGTTTATTGTGTATTTTGAGGCAGAGTCTCACTATGTGGCCTGTTTTTATATTAAAACATTCTTGCTAACTTGCCTAGGCTGAACTAGTATTTTTGATTCCTGCCTCAGCCCCTGGGGGTTCGGGATTATAGGTTTGTACCCCCACACCATACAAAGGAAGATGCATAGGACTAATCACAGGGATATAGACAAAGAAATTTCATGCTGTCTGGGTGCCATGGCCTCCGATAACCTTCACTTGTTCAGTTGTCTGGAAGCTTCCTGAATGCCAGGAAGTGTTAACCCTCAAGGGGTGGAGATGGGACCCTACTTCATAAAAGAGTACCACAGCCCCAGATTCAGCTGTGTCTCAGCGCTGGGCATCCCTACTCCTTCCAGAGAAGCTTTCTACTGCTTCCTTCTTGGTTTGTTATAGAAGTTTTAGTAGACATGCTTGAATAGATCATTGATAATAATCAACTTAACTTTCAGCTCTGACTCACCATCCTGTGGAAATGAGAAACAGGCTGATTTCTTCCACTCATGCGTTGGTCTTTTCAGTGATCATTGGTCGGGCTGTAGGTACCCAAGTGCCTCCAGCTGCCATTAAGGCATTAAGTTTACAAAAGACATTCATCACTCCCTGATATATTCACATATATATTCACAGTATCATAGAGACAGTGTTATGTCCAGTGGGCCTGAGGTTTAAGGGTCACCAGATTTACCTTTGCCAGGCCTGTCTCTTCGAAGAAGAAAGAGGAAGATGAGAAGACCAGTGCAAGGCAAAAACTTTATTGCAGGTATTGCAGGACAATGAGGAGGCGGCGTAGTGTTCTTCCCTGAGCGTGAAGCCGGGTCTTGGGGTTGCTTTGCTGCAATTGCCTCTTGCCATTGGTGATTGTTCTTGTTTTCTTTTTATGTGAAGTAAGCGGGGAGGAGGGCAGTCTGAGTGGTTCCTGTTTTTTAGTTTGTAAGAAAAGTATTTTCTTTAGTTTTATGTACTGGGAATGTTTCCCCCTCTTTTTAGTTTCACTGTGGGAGTAGAATCTATTCATGTTTGTGGAGTTAGGGTGCTTTTTAAAATAAGATATGTGAAATTTTGAGGAATGAATCAGGTTTTATCTTAGTTTATTTCCAGGGATTAGAATATTTTGCCGACGGTGGTACGCATTATATTGTCTTAAATTTCAGCTCTTTTGTGTTTGCGTGGATTATACTTAACTACTTGTATGTTATTTTCAATACTCCTTTTGGATTATCTTGCCTACAGTTCTCTGTGTAAAACCTAGGCTTTATACATTGAGTCTCTCAATCCCTGGTGTAATTTCTTACTTTTAGACAGTATTTCATTGTGTGATTTTCATAGTTTTGTCTCCCACGGTGGATTTTCAGTTACTGTCTTTTTTGATGAGTAGCATGAGAGTTTGGTCTCTGTTGTGTTTTTTTCCTTGTTAAGTGACTGTAATTTAGATGTCTTTTGTAGGTTTCAGTGTAAGTCTTTTTGGAGGGGGGATGTTTTTGAGACAGGGTCATGCTATGTAGTTTAAGCTAGACTTCAACTCACTATCTAGCTGATTTTGTGGCAGTCACCCGTCTCAGCTTCCCAAGTGCTGTGCACTCCCCGTGCCTGGCTTGTTTTTGTTTTAATTAAGGATTGAACTCATGACTTTTCTAGTCTTTTTTAATTTTTTTTTTTTTTTTTTTTTTAATTTTGAGACAAGGTCTCATTAAATTGTGTAGGTTGGGCTTACAGTTGTGATTTTCCTGCCTCAGTCTCCCAGAATGCTTGGATCATGGGCATTCATTTGTAGAACTAGCTGGGGGTTGCCTTTTAAATGATCTCTTTTGTGTGTTTGTGTGCAGCCAATGAAGGCCTTTTTACTGATTTTTCCTTTTTCTTTCTCTTTTGTTGTGCTGGAGTTTGAATCCAGGGCTTTGAATATGCTAGGAAAGTAGTCTACCCCTGAGCTACACCCCCTAGTCACTTTCATTTTTTAAATTTTGAGATAAGATCTGACTAAATTCTCTAGCTGGTTTTGAAATCTTGCTTCTTGCCCAGCCTCCCAGTAGGTGGGATTACAAGCATTTGGCACCATCTCTCCTGTCTTTTTTTTCTCCTCTTTTTTTTTTAAAAAAAAGCTCACAGCAGTAATTCATCAAAGTACAAGGTACTTTAAAAATTTCTCTGTAATGTTCCTAATTCCATTTCAAGAGGATTCCAAGTATTTAATTGCTTCTGTATTTGCCTTGCAGGAATTTGTGTTGATGCAGTTAATTCCCTGGGGCAGACAGCACTTTTTGTGGCCGCATTATTGGGCCTTACAAAATTAGTTGATGTTCTGGTGGACTATGGATCAGATCCAAATCAGTAAGTACAGTAGCATGATAGATATTAATGGGGTTTTTTTTCTTTCTCGGTGCTGGGGAATGAACATAAGGCCTTTGCACTGAGCTATATCCCTAGCCCTATTTAAAATTTTAATTCAGGACAAACATGGTTGTGCACGCCTGTAATACCAGCACTCAGGAGGCTGAGGCAGGAGGATCGTTGCAAGTTCGACACCAGCCTGGGCTACAAAGTGAGCTCAAGGCCAGCCTGAACTGCAGAATGAGGACCTGTCTCAAAAAGACAAAAAAAATAAAATAAAATAAAATTTTGATTCAGGAACTCCTCAAATTGCTGAATTGCCCAGATTGGGCTCTTAGCTGAATTTGTTATCTTCCTGCCTTAGCCTCCTAGACTACTAGAATTACTGTGCCACTGTGCTGGGTTAGGCATGTGCCCTTAAAATGGGTAGAGGCATTTCAAAAGTACTTGGAGCTGGACTTGGTGCCATATGCCTATAATCCCAGTACTTGGAAGGCTGAGGCAGGATGGCTGAGAGTTCGAGCCCAGCCTGGGCTACGTCATAGTTCAAGGGCAGCTTTAATTGTGCAGTGAGACCATGTCTTCAGGGGGGGAAAAAAAAAAAAAAGATACTTGGGGAATTTTTGTTTATTTGGAGATTGAACCCAGGGCCTTAATCTTTTTTTTTTTTTTTTTTTTTTTTCTTTTTGAGACAGGGTTTCACTATGCAGTTGAACTCACAGGGATTCTCCTGCCTTAACCTCCCAAGTACTTGGATTACAGGTGTGGGCTACCACAGCAGAGCTCTAATCCTGAGCTATACCCCAGTTCCCTAATTGCACAAAGTATAAGAGAACCTTTAAGTTATGTCAGTAAAATATAATTATATATATTTCAACATATGCCCATATTTAAAAGTAATTTTAACTGCTAATAAAATTTTTCAGAACTATACCAAGCCTTAGGAAATGAGTGAAAATAATTATTCACTCATTCATTACGTATTAACAGCACTGTTTGCATTTACAGTCTTGGGTTATAATTTGTATCATGTACTTCATTTGCTTAAGCTGTTTAACATTGCCACAACCATCTTCTTCACCAGGTAGTACAGGTGGCATAACTTTGTCAGAAAGGATCATTTTTGCCTGACTTTTAAAGTTAAGACTTCAAAAGAATCTGAGTTCAGTAGTCAGCCCTGATTTAATACGCAAAGACAACACAATGTAATGAATCAACCAGATGTCACTCTTTTGTGTTTATGAAACACTTTGGCTCTTCCTAGGGCCTTCGCAGGTACTATTTCACTTGGTTTCGGGTGTGTATGTATGTGCGTATGTGTGTGGTACTGGAATTGAACTCAGGACCTTGACACTGAGCTGTCCCCACCCTTTTTATTTTTTATTTGAAATAGGGGCTTACTGAGTTGCCTAGGCTGCACTCAAGCTTGCGTCAACCTTCATCTCCTTGACAGTTGAGCTGAACTGGGCATGGTGATACACGCTTATAATCCTAGCACTTGGGAGGCTGAGGCAGGAGGATCGCCATGAGTCCAAGGCCAGCCTGGGCTACATAATGAATTGAAGGCCATCCTGAACTGCATAGCAAGTCCCTGTCTCAAAAAGACAAAAACAAAACAAAACAAAACACGACAACTGAGCTAAAGTCCCAGGCCTTTTTATTTTGAGACAGGGTGTTGTTAAATTGTCCAGACTGGCCTCAAACAAAAAGTTCTAATAGGGGCTAGAGAGGTAGCTTAGTGGTAGAGTACTAGCCTAACATATCCAAAGCTCAATTCATACTACTACAACAAAACAAAACAAAAATTTACAATAGGCTGAGTGTGGTATTATATGCCTGTAATCCCAGCGCTTGGGAAGCTGAGGCAGGAGAATTGCTGTGAGTTGGAAGCCAACCTGGTCTACAAAGTGAGACCCTGTCTCAAAATAAAAAACTTACAATAGTATTGTTTCTAAGCAAGAAAACTGGGTGTCTGGAGTTGGGAGGGTTTTAATAAAACATGTTTTTCTTATATTCTCTTCTTTTTCTTTTACTTTCACCTATTTTCTTTTGCTTTCCCCTGGTCCTCTTTTTTTTTGTTTGGTTTGATTTGTTCAGTTCGATTCGGTTCAGTTTTTTCAAGGTCTTTCTGTGGAGCCCAGGTGGTCTCACAGGCTGGCCTGAAAATTGCTTTGTTCCTGCCTCACCCTAGGATTACATATGTGCACTGCTGTGCCCTAATTTTTGTTTATTGTTCAATTAAAGAAAAAGATCTCCAAGTAATTCTTATGTGCAGCCAGGTTAGAAACTATAGCTACATCTCACACCTCCCTTTGCCTGTACATGGTAGAGGCTGTCCCTTCATGACCCCCATAGTTTTCTCCTGCAACTTTCTATTACTGGGACAAAATACTCAACACAAATAATTTAAAGAAAGGGTTATTCAGCCCAGTTTCTAGTGGGTTCAGTGCATGGTTGGTTGGCTCCAGGGCAGAAATGGCATGGTGGAGGGGCATGGTGGAGGAAAGCTGCTTAACCCCTGGCAGCCAGGGTGCAAAGACTGAAGGGAGGAGCCAGGGAGGGAGACAGACCCTCCAAGGAAAGGCACACACCCTCGGTGATACCTCTTGCAACCAGGCCCTACCTCCTAACAGCACATTCAACTGTGAACTCATTTATAGATCAGTCCGTGGGTGAGTATAACACATGGGACATTAGGGGACACCATGCAAAGTATTTCAGTGTTATGGTTGATACATTCTATCAACTTGCGGAGTCTAGAGGTTTGGCTAAATGACTCAGCAGTTCTGCATCTTGGGGTAAAAGCGACATGCCCTTACCCTTCTAGGATGTTGTTTATTGTGTCAGTTTGAGAAGTTTAGAAGGTTAACTATGTGATTCAGCAGGGAGCCAGCCAGGGTGCTTACTTTGTATTCATCCTGAGCCTGTGCAAGAGGAGGGCACGGAGGTGGTGTGAGTGCTACATGCCCCTTGGGTGAGGGTAGCCTGCCTACAATGTAAGGGAGGGAAAGAGGCTTGCTGTTCTTTGCTGCTCCTCCCTTTTGCTCTTGTTTTTGCTATCTTCTGTACCATGAACTGTAGCCCCCTGCCCTGCGCCACTCTGCCTTGGAGCTAGCTGAGTATGGACTGAAACCTCCACAGACTGTGAGCTAAATAAACCTTTCCTTCCTTAATTTTGCCTGTCAGGTATTTTGTCTCAGCAATGAGAGAAAAGTAACCAAGACATTGAGGCATAAGTTCTTGACTGGATTATTGATGCTGAGGGGTTTTTGGGCCGCCTACCACAAGATAGGGGTTGGTTACAAGAGGACTAGTCTCTAATTATTTTGTGCTTGACCAGGCTGACCCTAGGATGTCACAGACAGGAAGGAAGTGTTTTAGGGCAGCTGATGTCAGAAGGTAGTAGGGAGAAAACACTGGGGCATGGAATCAGACCCATATCTGAGTATGAACCTCAGCTTTGTGCTTTTGATTCCTCGTCTCTTGTACCTGCAAGAGTGCTGCCTTGAAGGGTTGAGGTAAGGATGGAAAAAAGGGATGTGTGTAAAGCTCCTGTTGGTGGAGGCCAGGGGGTCTCATGAGTGGTAGTATTTTAATCTTCATCACTAAAGGTTGCCATTGTGGACTGGAAGTCCTGTGCCTCCCTCCATGGAAGGGAGGAGTGTTGCCATGGACACTCACTGTACCCATTTCCATCTTCTTTCTGCAGTCGCTGCTTTGATGGCAGCACCCCTGTCCATGCAGCAGCATTTTCAGGCAGTCAGTGGATCCTCAGTAAACTACTGGATGCAGGGGGTGACCTGCGGCTTCATGACGAGAAGGGTCGAAACCCACACTCCTGGGCCTTGGCAGCAGGGAAGGATCGCAGCACCCCGGTAAGGGAGGCTCTACTCTGCAGTCATGTCCAGTGGAAGAGCACTGGCCTGAGAGTCAGGATCCTAGGTGCAACACAGAGCTTGCGGCAATGTTAGCCTTGCATTGGACACATACCTCTGGGTTGAGGCAGGTTAACCTGCTGTAAAACCTTGGGCAAGTCTAGTGAATCTAGAAAGTCATCTGTTTAGTGAAGAAGGAGAACAACAGTAATGTCTGACCCCTTTACCTAGCCCTTACCTTACCACCAGTCATGTTGTTCCAAACAATTTTTTTTTTTTTTTTGTATCGGGAATCAAACTTGGGACCTTGCATTTGCCAGGCAGGTGCTTGTGCCACTGAGCTATATCCCCGGCAAAAAAAAAAATTTAAGGGCCCTTGAGATAGCGCAGAGGCAAGCACAAGGTCCTAAGTGGGATTCCAAGTACCAAAAAAAAAAAGATTAGTGGAGCATAGTGGCACACACCTGTAATCCCAACACTTGGGAGGCTGAGGCAGGAGGATCGTTGCAAGTTTGAGACCAGTCTGGGCTACAAAGTGAGCTCAAGCCAGCTTGAACTGCATAGCAAGACCCTGTCTCAAAAAGACAAAAAAAAAATTTTTTTTTTAACTTAACTTAAATCAGTCAATAGCCTCTCAGCTCTGTATAGTACTGTTATTGTCCTCATTTTACTCCTGGGAAAACATAGTCCAGTTGACATTATGTAACTTGCCTGCGGTCACTCACTAACAGTTATTTTTTTTTTTTGAGAGAGAGGGTCTCCCTATACGGTTCAGGCTGGCCTCGAGCTAGCTCACTGTGTAGCCCAGGCTGGCCTCAAACTTACAACGATCCTCCTGCCTCAGCCTCTCAAGCACTGTGATTACAGGCATGTGCCACCACGCCTGGCTGTGATATGTTTTAATGAGAGCTGAATAAGAGGACAGATGTAAAAGCAAGGAACATGGGAAATGCCAGCCTCTCACGTGCAGTCTCCTTCCTGCCCCCTGGTTCTGCCCATTAGCTCTTGGGCCTTGGGCAAGGGATTTTACTCCTTTGCCTCACTTTCCTCAGCTGTTGAAGGAGGGACTTGGAGGCAATCATGGACAAATCTTCTCGCTGAAAATGTTACATTCTTCTAAGAGTCTCCTGGCCCCTTTCTTTTCCCTCTGGGAGGTCCGCTGTCCTCATAACGATTCACGCTTGCGCCCAAGCCTGCCTTTCCATCAAAGGCTGGTGTGACCAGAGCTGAGTGTCTCTACCATGTGTTACAGATGGTGGAGTTCATGCAGCGCTGTACCTTGCACATGCAGGCCATCATGCAGGGCTTTTCTCATGACCTCCTAAAGAAGATAGACTCCCCTCAGCGGCTCATCTGCAGCCCACCCTGCCTTGTGGGCCTCCTGCAAGGGTGAGTACTGACTCCAGCTCATAAGAGTATGTCCCCCTTCCTCATGGGAGCCCTGTGTCATGGGTTGTCATGGTTTCCTTTACATTGGTGCTTGCTGGTAACTAGGCCACCCAAAGAAAGAGCTGTGCTTGGAAAGAGATGTGACCCATAATAAAGGACGGCTGGAAGAACATCCTTCTCCCCCTAGAAAATCAGGGGGAAATGGGAGTGAGGTCCAGGGGGAATCATTCCATCAGTAGAAAAGGAGTTTCCCAAGTCTGAGCGGCCCAGCAGAAAACTCTTAGCCGGTAGGGAAGCTGCCTGGCCTTTTTTTTTTTTTTTTTGTCATCTTCTGAATCATGGAAAGAGTATTCCTTTCTTAACAAAGGTTGCAAAAGTCCACAAGTGTTTAATTTATGGTTTCTGGGTCTATTTGAAACTGGTGTAAGATATTTGCTGCCCTTGTGTAGTTTATCCACTCAATTTACATAAATTTTTCACAGTTATTTTATTTGCAAGTGTTTTCTGTTTTTCTAACCAAACTATGAATTCCAGTTGGACAGAGACAGTGTCTTATTCATTACTAACCCTTAGCTGCCTGGTCAGTACAAATAAAGTATATTTATGGGAAGCCAGGAAGGAAATCCCAAATTCAATATTGATAAACATTTGCACTGGGCATGATGGCACACAGGCAGGAGGATTGCCACAAATTCATAGTGGACTGGGCTACATAGTGAATTCAAGGCCAGCCTACACTACAAAGTAAGACCCTGTCTCAAAAAAATATATATCGCCAGAAACTTCAGTTACTAATTTAGACATAGCGTCTGTTTCATAATTATATAATTCATCTAATTATAAAACAGATGCTATGTCTAGAGTGAATGGAATGTTTAATGAAAAATAGGATAGAAATGCACTTCCTCTCCTTGTGGGGTTTTTTTGTTTGTTTGTTTGTTTGTTTATTTTTTTCTGGTGCTGGGAATTGAACTTATGACCTCGTGCTTGCCAGGCAGGCACTGTGCCGCTGGGCTAAATCCCCAGCCCCTCTCCTTTTGTTCTTACATGAAGAAATCACAGTAGCACAGTGTCTGCTTGGCAAGTGCAAGGTCCTGGGTTCAATTCCCAGTTCAAAAACAAAAAAAATCACACAAATCCTGTAAGTAAGAGTTAACCTCAGGTCTCTGAGTGGTGCCACATCAGATATGATTTCCTGTAAGTGTGTGAGGATGCAGAACCAGGACTGGGAAAGAAGAATGGAAGCATTGAACAGAGAGAAAGTGGTAGTTGGATACTTGCAGATAACTAGAGTCCTTTTTCTCTCCCCGCTCCATGGATAGGGACTGAAAATTTTCGTTTAGTTACATAGACAGGGACTGAGAAATTTAGGTAAGAGAGCAAGACACGTTGGTCTGAACTGCAGTTGTGGTCCATGTTGGTGTCAGAGAATAGTCAGCTTCTTTGCTTAAACAGAGCTGCCACCTTCCAAAGAGCCTACATGCTGTTCAGATGGGTGAGGGTGTAATGGCAGAATTAGGGTTGTATTCCACAACAAACCAAAAAGACTCTATTCAGAACAAGCAGAGCTTTAATTTGAGGCTAGCCATCCTTCCTTCCATTTGCCAAACCGAAAAGTGGGCAAGGGGCCTGCCTTTGTTCCCAGCTTATATACATTTTTGGTTTCCATGGTAACATTGGAATGTTGTAGCCCTGGCCACACATTGTTTTCCTTGTGCCAAATAACCAGGTCAGGCTCCGGTCATGAGCCCAACCACAGTGATACATACTTTCTGTACTCTGTTCTATATGTCCCCCTTTAGATAACCATACATTTCCTTTATGGTTACAATGTTTATCTAGGGCCAGGGAAAGGATGAAACAACCCAGGCAAGGTCATAGGTAGTTATCTAGGCCCTGGTGTTTTTTTGTCTTTGGAGAACCATTCCAGGGCTAAGTCAGAACTGCAAAGTTAACTCTTTAGAACCCCTCCGTGATGTTTCTCAAGACATATTTTGAGGCTTGCATTAAGACTAGAATTATTCTATCTTAAAATGATATGCTAAGAGTCACCGTCCCCTACAAAGGGAGGCCTCGTCAGTGGTGTCCCCTGTTGCACTGCTGCACAGGTGGTGGTGGGGGTCCCACCCTTGCTGATAGTGCTAAGTCTGTTCCCCCAGACTCGGAAATGCTCCACTGTTTCCTAGATCCATCAGGGCTAAACACATAGGCCTTATTTATAGAGGAGACTGCTGATTTGGCATAAGAAAGGAACCTTTCTCTTAGAATGTGTCTCCTCAAATCAGGGAGAACATAGGGTTATCCCATACACTGGGATATATCCCATACACTTCTGAAGGGATGATGCTGGGACACTGTGTGTAAACTGAGATGTCCAGTTTACCTCAGTCCAGACTTCAGAGTCTCTGTTCAGCGGCATGACAGGTGAAAGCAGGGAACAGGCAGCCTGGTACTGAAAAGTTGCTGAGGAGATAAAACCCGGACAGTTTCAAGAGCAGAGGTACAGCATTCTAGTCCATTCATGAATAGTGGCAAGTGGGCCTCACAGACCTGGTGCAGGCTGGGGCTGGGTATGCACTGTCCTACCAGCTCCTTTGCCATTTACCAAGAAGGAGAAGTGGTTTCTACAGCACCAGAGTATTTTTTGTCCCCCAATTTGAGGTGAAACTACTCAACAAGAATTCATGGGGCTGAGAATATAGCTCAGTGGACACAGCATCTGCCTGGCAAGCGTAAAGTCCTGAGTTCAGTTTCTGTTACCAAAAAAACCAGCACCATAACAAAAACAGCATTCACTAAGCACCTGCTACACTACATGCATGGCATACTCCCAGGTCCCTGGAGCCAAAGAAGTGTATGGAATTCCAAGGCACCTTCAGTTAGTGGAGCCCTGATATGCAGGTGTGATTTGGGTGAGGTGTGTGGGGAGACCATTGGCTGGATGAGCAGCATCTAAGTCTGGTCTCTGCTCCTGACCTGGGACTTATCCTTCTGAGCTTTGTTTTTCCCATCATAAAATGGGAAAGTTGAAGAAGATATGCTTATGATACCTCCCAACTCTTATGTATATTTTGTTAACTTTAACCAGTAGATTTTTTAAGTTTCATGTCCTTTTGTATTAGTGAATATTGGTAATACAGCTCAATGCACAGAACACACATAGATCATTTTCGCCCTCCCCATAGTTTCACTTTTTTTGTTTCAGTGACTATATTTGTTCATACTCTTCTCCCTAATTATCCACCCTTACACCATCCTTTCACTTTTTATGTTCCTCTTTAATAATAGTGTCCTTTCTACATTTTTACTATCTTTTTTAGATTCCACATATTAGGGAGCTAAATATTTTTAACTTACAGAATTTCTGTGGATCAGGACTCAGTGAATGGCTTAATTAGTTTACACTGAAGATACCTTTTGGAGCTGCCGCCATCCATCTGAAGGCTTAACAAGGGATGGAGGGTCCAGTTCCAAAATGGCATACTCCCATGGCTAGAAAATTGGTGCTGGGTGTTTGGCCTTTGTGTTGGGCTGCTCAGTGTCCTCACAGTTCTCTCAAAGCAAGTGATACCAAATAGATCAAGGCAGAATCCCTGTTAGCTTTTGCTTTGGGAAGGATTACTCCATCATTTGTACAATATCCTACTAAACTAACAGGTCACCCTTCTCTGACTGTAAGGATCATGAATACCAGCTGGTGAGAATCACTGGAGCCTTTTCAGGGCTGGCTGTCATAGTCTTCAGTTTGTGACAAAAGTCAAGTCATATCATGCTTGTGTCAGCAGCACATATACCAACACTGGGACACAGAGAAGATGTACACATCCCCTGTGCAAGAATGACATACAAATTTGTGAAGCATTCCATAGGTGGGGAGAAAGCAGCCATAGCCTCAGTGTTGGCTGGTGTTGATGTTGACCCGGAGGAGGTGCTTACAAATCTGCAGAGGACGTGTCTCTCACCTGAGGGTTGCAGTAGATGTCCTGGGTGCTTACTGCATTCATTCTGTAGTGTTAAGAGATTGAACTCTTAAAGTCATAAGAACTACACATTGCAAAACTTGGTTTAGTATTATGCCTCTCTGTGAGTGGTTAATTCTCATTTTTTTCTTTATACATTTCTAGAAGTCCTAATGGCTCTCCTAAACGACCCCTTAAAGCTGGAGTCATTTCTACCCAAAATATCTACAGCTTTGGCTTTGGGAAGGTAAGGTGTTGCCAGTGACAGCCAGTGTTGTAGGACTAACTAGAAGTCATGTGACCTGTTTCTTACCTTTGTTCGAGTCCTTCTCCCTTATCTTTGCCAAAATGTTTTTTCTTTTTCCTTGCCCTGTTTCTATTTTCTGTCCCTGTTAACAAATGATAAGAACTCTGGAGAATGCCTGTGGATGACCATGGGCTAGATTTCAGATGCTTAGAAAATGATGCTTTAATTTTCACTGAAGGCCCTAAATTCTCCCGTAACAGAGGAAGGGAAATGAGAGAAGAGAACTATGCTACCTCCTTGGATTTGCCTCCTGATAACGTTGGCTTCCCACTGGCTTGTACACATGGCTGACATTCTTTGGAGGAATGGAGATTTTAAACTGGGAAATGTTGTGAGGACAGTAAGTTTTAGATCCTTGGTTCTATCTGTCAAAGGTAGACAGCTGGAAAACATTGCTTGGTACATGAGTGGCGTTTGCATGGGCAACCTGGGGGAGTAGGTGCAGGAATGTGAGCTTTGTCTACATACAGGCCCAGGTTCTGTAGGAGTCACAATAGGCTGCTCAGTCCCAGCCCCAGCACTTCAAGCAGGTTTGTGACGTCCTACTCAGTTTCTTCACTAGTAAAAAGAATATTATAACCTTACAGTGTTTCTAAGAAGATTAAAAATAATGTAAATAAAAAACTAATTGCCATGCCAGGTATATAGCTCAGTGGTACAAGTACCTGCCTGGCAAGTGCAAGGTCTTGAGTTTGATTCTCGGTACCAAAAAAAAAAATTTTCAGTGCATAGGGATATTCAGCAAATGAGTAAGTAGCAACTATCATTATTTTTAGCCAGCTGACAAGATTCTGGAGGTATCTTGCTTTTCTTTTTTTTCCCCACAAGTTGAGGCTTTGGTTTCAGTTTTATCTTACAGGAGGGACACAGCTTGCCTATCTAGGCTCTCTTCCAATAATTGGAGAAAAGGAAGTGATTCAAGCCGATGATGAGCCCACTTTCTCTTTCATCAGTGGGCCTTACATGGTCATGACGAAGTAAGTAGGAATTGGTCAATAGGAGGATGCACTGATCCCTGGGAACTATGGGGTGAAGTGACACCCTTATGTGTGGAGAGTTTCTTCTTCAGCACAAGGGAGCATTTAAGAACATGTGTCTAAATCAGAGCTTCTCATGTGGAAATTTTTGGCTACATGATCCTTTATTCCTGAGGGCAGACCTGTGCATTGTAGGGTGTTTGGGAGGCTCCCTTGACCCTTGTCATTAGGTAGCAGTGGCAGTCCTTTATGCCCCTTGTAGTTGTAACAACCAAACTTGTCTGTGCATATTGCCCATATGCTCTGAGAGGGAGAATCCAGATGACTCATTTACAGTATTTTCATCTCTCTGCTTTCTAAAATACTGAAGTAGCTTTGTGCTGATTGCTGTGCCTTTGGTACAGGCCAAAGGATACTGAAGCCCACGTAGAAAATGAAACAGGCATCTTCTGGGCCTCTAAATCCAGGGGAGTTGACAGTAGCAGGGTTTGTTTATGAAAAGAGTTCTTACTGGGCATGGTGGCGCACACCTGTAATCCTAGCACTTGAGAGGTTGAAGCAGGAGGATCGTTGTGAGTTCAAAACCAGCTGTGGTTGCAAAGTGAGCTCAAGGCCAGCCTGAACTGCATAGCGAGACTCTGTCTCAAAAAGACCAAAAAAAAAAAGAAAGAAAGAAAGAAAAAAAGAAAGAAAGAAAGAAAGAAAGAAAGAAAGAAAGAAAGAAAGAAAGAAAGAAAGAAAGAAAGAAAGAAAGAAAGAAAAAGA